TATAAGAATTGTGTAAAAAACTGTATATTTTCTGCCTGTGATAATTAAGTTAGTCTATTGTCTTGAGATAATTGTATCACAGGCAGAGGGGAGGATTTCTGGTGGGAGTGGTTTACTTTATTGTATGTGTTGTAATGTTTTTATTGGTTGTTCTGAAAAACCCTGTGTGGTGTATTACCAAACTCTATAAATTATTATGTACGCATACACATATAAACTCTGGTCCGTCTACTTTAACAAATATTTATTCAGAGACAAAACAACAACAACATACAAATAATGACACACAATCAAACTAACTATACCAACAACAACAGCAACAACAACCTAACTAACAATAACAACTACATCTTATAAAATCCCACTCACAGTTCACCATGATAGAAATTAGGCCATGTCTGCTTAAAGGACTGCTCAGTAGCACAGCCAAGAAGGAACAGAGAGGAATGGAGATAGGGGGAAGTGACTGACTTGTAAAGGTATTGAATTACCCAATTACCATTTCAAAAGGATAAAGCTTATCCCACTGTAAGCTTGGTCACATGATCCCTGGTCACCATATTAGTTTGACAGAATGTCACCACACCCTGTGGTCGGTACTGTATCTGTAAAACCTGCATAAAAGAAGGCCCTTTGGTGCCAAGTAAAACATATCTTCTTGACCCTCAACACGTAGTCTTTTCTCATGATTGGAGGGGACAGCTATATTCACACAGGGATTGTTATGCTCTGTATACTCCCTTGAGCTTTAATTACTTAGCTCTTTTAAGAGCTGTTCCTGTTACGCTCTCCTGGAGGAGAGGTCTTTCCCCACATGGTCCTGGAGGACAGAAGCTGATCCAGGGTGGACAGAAGACGGCGAGACTCCAGTTAAGCTACGGAGGTTGTGGAGTTTGCGGTGGTTGTGGTGTCCGGTGCGGTGCTTTTGGTCCTCTGCGCAGGCTAGGAAGTGTCCATCAACGGAAGGTACTCGGTCGGAGTATGGGGAGTTCCGTTACATCCTCTAGTGTTCTCAGAGTGAGCCATTTGATAGTTCATTGGGTGTAGTTGGTGCATTCTAACTGGCTCTTCCAGCATCATGTTTAATGGGTAAAGACAAATAAAGTGACAAGTAACAGATGGCGCTTTAAATAATGTCCAGATAGTTATTTATACAATATGCAAATTGTGCAAAAAAGCACACTCCATTAAAATAAATAACAAATCTAGGTGTGCTGTGTCTTTAAATACAATTAATAATTAGTGTAAACACACCTACTTATTTAAAAAAACATCAAGGTGTATATAAATCATGAAAGTTATCTTGTGCAAAACCTTTTTTGGTCCCAATATTGTGCAATGCCTGTGCCAAAGTCCGTATGGTGGAAAGTAAAACACTTACAATCAGTTACTGTAGGCACATATGTATCTTTCACTTCAGCTCAAAAACAAAACGACAGAGAGATCTGAGATACATAGTGTAAATCTGTGTATGAAAACAGTGAATACTGAAATGCTATGATGGAACACTCACAAACAAAGAGCAGATGAGCCTTGATTGGGTCCCTTAATGGGTAAACGATGCAGGAAAGGATGCCAGCAATAGGTATATTACAAATACTTTTTTGCATCTGGGTGCCCGGGCATTTTCTTTAATAACTGGGCAGTTAACTTAAATGGGTACACGTTATTTAGGAAGGATAGAAAAACAAGAAGGGTGGTGGGGTATGTTTATATGTCAACCATGAGTTAAAGTCAAATCTTAGGCATGTGGAGTGTGACGAGGAAATGGTGGAGGCTCTATGGGTAAATATCTGCTTGGGGCAAACAAAGGGAAATCAATTATTGGTTGGGATATGTTATAAACCACCTAATGTTAATATTATTGAGGAAGAACAGCTGTTAGAGCAAATTGAGAAAGCTGCAAATCGGGGTAACACGTTAATTATTGGAGATTTTAATTACCCAGACATAAATTGGGATAGAGGGACTAGTACTTCAGCAAGGGGCATCAGGTTTTGGAATGTGTTAAATGACACCTTTATGTCACAACTGGTACAAGCACCAATTAGAATGGACGCTTGTCTGGATCTCGTTATAACAAACAATGCTGATCTTTTGACCGACATTCAAGTAGGGGTGTGTGACGAAAGTAACCACATCACTGGCTTTTGGAAGGACCTGCTGGCCAGCCTCTTGCCTCAGGACTATGGGCCCTGCAATATACCTGCCCAATGCACTTTAAAAGGCTCTGTTCATGTGAAGTATGTACTTTTGTAGTCCAGACAGAGAGACCAACTGTTAGCCCTAATTCTCTGGAACCATTTTGGGCATGGGACCATGTGCACAGTCGGTCAAATAAATGACTTCCAGGAAATTCCTGAACCCCTGAACTCATCTGGGTGATTTTTGGATATGTTGGTCACCCAGATCAGGGCTATCAGGGGTGTAACATGGGGGTTTATGTATTTTTAGGGTACCTGAGGGGAGGGATTATATGTTTGTTCTGGGAGTGTCGGGCATTTAATCATTGTTCTTATTGGTCTGTGTCTTTATGTTGGGGTCCCCAACAAGGTCCATGTGGGCGTACCCCTTGCATGGTGATTGTTATAAATGTCCAAGTGTGGCTCCCGTTAAATTGAGATTCGTTTACCCCTTCATGAAGTCTTGGCTCATGTTTGGGGGGATTGGAGAACTACATTCACTCTGGGGATTGCTATAATCACTGTGGCAAACTCACCCCTTTTAAGGGAGTTTGCCAGGAGTTTTTGGAGGGGCCTGCTTACCCTGGGGGTATTGCAATTTAAATACATCATTTGGGCATAATGGATTTTTTTATTGTGCTGCTACTGGCCCTTTAAAACACAGCGTATGGACTTCTATTGGACTGTGTATAGCCCTTTAAGAACAGTATGTGGACATATTGAGACAATGTCCCTTTAAGACGGTGTCCCCAGACTTGTTGGGGACAATGCCCCTTTAAGACGGTCTCCCCAAACCTTTAATATACTCTGTTCCTGGCTTTCTCCCCCTGTGTTCAGTAAATGGGGCTTACTGAACCAAGTATTACACAGGCAGACCACCCAGAAGTCGAAGCGTGCAGGCAATTTACCTCCCAGGCTGGGAGCCTGCTGTAGGAAAATTGCCGAATGCTGGGGGGCCGCCGTTCATGCAAACAAACACGTGGCGGCGGCCATCTTTTTTTCAGCCGAACAAGGTCAGCGGTGTGTGTAGCCAAATTCATGGAACTGAAATCGGCTACACAGTTCCACGAACACCACTGACCCTTACCTTCTCCTACACTGATTTTTCAGCTGCAGAGACTAAGTCCCGTTCGGCGATGAGACTTAGTCATTTTTTCAGTGTGAAATAGAACGACCGCACAGCCCAAATCTATGGAACTGTTTTGGGCAGGAAAATGTGCTTGTGGTCGGTCATAAAGGACTTCCGTCTAACTTTTTAATCACCTGAATTTTGGAAATGTGTGTAATTAAAGTGTGCTGAGTATTAATATGTTCTTTTTATGAATATTGAATGTATAGTTTTAAAGTTATAGTAGATGTGTAAAAACTGTATTTCTCTGCCGGTGATAATTACATTAACCCATTGTGTTCAGTAATTATATCACAGGCAGAGGGGAAGATTTTGTGTGTAATTGCTGGGAGTGTCTGAGTGTATTGTACGTATTGATTGGTTGTTCTGCAAAACCCTGTGGGCAGTACTATGTGTGTAAAATGTGCATAAAAGCAGAGTGTTTCATTAAAAGCTTCAGTTCTACTTCACCCTCCATTTGGAGTGCCGTCTCTTATTGGGGGAATCTGTTACAAGGGATTGCTATGCTTGTCATACTCCCTTAGCTAATCACTACTAAGCTCTTGTAAGAGCTTGTTCCGGTCTTGCTCTCTGAAGGAGTCTACTGTGGTTATGATGTCTGCTGGAGTGCTTGGAGCCCTCAGGAAGCGCTCGGAGCATCCTTCAACGGAGGTACCCAGTCGGGGTGCCAGGTGATCCGTTACACGTAACGTTGTGCGTCATGACGTTACATTGCTAAGCAACAATAAACAAACATCAGAAGATGCATTGACAAAGGGATTATCCCAAAACGTTTGTTATTTATCCTCCAAATAAATGTCAGTTACACCTTGGTTTGTGCACACAGCAACTATTTGGGCAGCCTCTATTTTATTTTGTGCTGTGGATTTTCACTGCCTGAGCAACAGTGGGGGCTGAATGCAGCATAGTGAGTACTATTTTACTTTGAAATTCTATGTACTTTTTCCAGTTCCTCATATTTTTTTCTTTTCGTGAGACTAAAAAGAAGTTTCGAATTTCATCTGATATTAGTAAAATATAGATTTATTTCCATGCTCGGAGCATAATATTCCCAGCACGATACTTTAATTTTTAAAAGGATGGATATATTTATAAATAACACTAAATTCCAGCTGCCTGATCATCTGCCAATTCACAAAGTCTATGGAAAACTGAAAATGAAACAAGATTATTAAATTAAATGGTGTAAAACGTGCCAGATTAGCCTTGGTAAATAGTTGGACTGTAAATAGATGACAAAGGGCTCCCCCCACTGGCTCCAGAATGATTGTACATTGTCTCACAGTTTCCTTTCTATTTTATTTGTGAAACACTGTCACTAAAGTGGGAATTGTCAAAAATATTTAATTTTAGCCAAAAGAGACATGCAGGAAAAAGTATTAAAATCAGCTATTTTTAGTTTGTATATTTTGGTATAAAATTTGAAATTCAAGTTGCATTCCTGACAATCCACACTAAAAGGTACGCACAGCTTGCAATAGTGGTTATGGTGCCTAAAGTGCCATTTTCTATTGGTTTGACTACTTACTTAAGGTCCTCTAGACCTCTTCCCTTCCCTCTGGAAGGAACCCAGCTTTATCCCCAAGATTTCATGGAACTTTTGTTCTAAAAGGCTTGAAAGTGAGACAAAAATCACCAAATAATATTCAAAGGGAATACATGCAAAAGCCCTGGGGCTCTCTTCAGCCATGCCAGGGGTGTCCTGCGTCTGCACCAGAGCCAGTCCAGGGTGTGCTTTCTGTCACATCAGAACTAGCCCAAGGAGTTTCGACCTCCATAAGAGAGCTGACTACATTCCAGAGCCAGTCCAGGAGCATTCTGACTGCACCCCAGATCCAGTCCCAGAGCATTCTGACTGCACCCCAGAGCCAGTCCCAGAGCGTTCTGACTGCACCCCAGAGCCAGTCCCTGAGCGTTCTGACTGCACCCCAGAGCCAGTCCCAGAGCGTTCTGACTGCACCCCAGAGCCAGTCCCAGAGCGTTCTGACTGCACCCCAGAGCCAGTCCCAGAGCGTTCTGACTGCACCCCAGAGCCAGTCCCAGAGCGTTCTGACTGCACCCCAGAGCCAGTACAGCAGCGTTCTGACTGCACCCCAGAGCCAGTCCCAGAGCCAGTCCCAGAGTGTTCTGACTGCACCCCAGAGCCAGTCCCAGAGCATTCTGACTGCACACCAGAACCAGTCCCAGAGCGTTCTGACTGCACCCCAGAGCCAGTCCCAGAGCATTCTGACTGCACCCCAGAGCCAGTCCCAGAGCGTTCTGACTGCACCCCAGAGCCAGTCCCAGAGCGTTCTCACTGCACCCCAGAGCCAGTCCCAGAGCGTTCTGACTGCACCCCAGAGCCAGTCCCAGAGCGTTCTGACTGCACCCCAGAGCCAGTCCCAGAGCGTTCTGACTGCACCCCAGAGCCAGTCCCAGAGCGTTCTGACTGCACCCCAGAGCCAGTCCCAGAGCGTTCTGACTGCACCCCAGAGCCAGTCCCAGAGCGTTCTGACTGCACCCCAGGGCCAGACCCAGAGCATTCTCACTGCACCCCAGAGCCAGTCCCAAAGCGTTCTGACTGCACCCCAGAGCCAGTACAGCAGCGTTCTGACTGCACCCCAGAGCCAGTCCCAGAGCCAGTCCCAGAGCGTTCTGACTGCACCCCAGAACCAGTCCCAGAGCGTTCTGACTGCATCCCAGAGCCAGTACAGCAGCGTTCTGACTGCACCCCAGAGCCAGTCCCAGAGCGTTCTGACTGCACACCAGAGCCAGTCCCAGAGCGTTCTGACTGCACCCCAGAGCCAGTCCCAGAGCATTCTGACTGCACACCAGAGCCAGTCCCAGAGCGTTCTGATTGCACCCCAGAGCCAGTCCCAGAGCGTTCTGACTGCACCCCAGGGCAATTCCGAGAGCGTTCTGACTGCACCCCAGAGCAAGTCCCAGAGCGTTCTGACTGCACCCCAGTGCCAGTCCCAGAGTGTTCTGACTGCACCCCAGAGCCAGTCCCAGAGCGTTCTGACTGCACGCCAGAGCCAGTCCCAGAGCGTTCTGACTGCACCCCAGAGCCAGTCCAGCAGCGTTCTCACTGCACCCCAGAGCCAGTCCCAGAGCGTTCTGACTGCACCGCAGAGCCAGTCCCGGAGCGTTCTGACTGCACGCAAGAGTCAGTCTGTGACGAAGTGCCCTTCGCCATTTGTGCCTGGAGAGGACTGCTTGCCCGCCTCTTGCCCTGTGACTATGGACCCTGGGAGATTTGGCCCGTTCAATTCAGTATGATAGGAGTTATGTATTTTTGTATCCTTTTGTGTTTTACTGGGAACATGTGCTCAATGGAGTCTGCTTCTATCCCTGGATAATTGGATTATGTTCCCCATTGTCTCCAAGATAGAGGGCTCTGTAAAACCAGTTCAGGAGTTTTGTGTTGCATAAATTGTGAGTTCTGTGTGCCAGTAAATCAGTCTTGTTCCAGCATTAAGCCTTGGCTCATGTTTGGGGGATTGGAGAAATACACTCTGGGGATTGCTATAATCACTATACTCCTCAGGGTATGATCACTAAGTTCTGCTAAGAGCTTGTTCCTGTTCCTGCTCTCTGGGGAAAGAGAGGTTCACCCACTGGAAGCTGGATCCTGGCCTTGGGTCAAGGGTGGGTGGAGACAGCAGAGACCCCGGCGCAGTTGCATCGCTGGAAGTGGGGTCTGCAGTGCTGATGGTGTCGGTTGGAGTGCTTGGAGTCCTCAGCGAGCACTAGGAGCATCGATTGACGGAGGTACTCAGTCGGAGTGCCAGCGGTCCATCACACAGTCCCAGAATGTTCTGAGCACAGTGTATATATCACCCTCACACTGTTTGTATATCGCTCTCAAACGGTGTATATCACACTGTATATATCGCCCTCACACGTTGTATATATCGCCCTTACAGTGTGTACATTGCCCCCACAAGGTGTATATCGCGCATTGTATATCGCCCTCACAGTGTCTGTATGGCCCTCACACGGTACATATCACCCTCACAAGGTATATATCACCCTCACAATGTGTATATCATGGTGTACATGTCGCCCTCACGCAGTGTATATCGCCCTCACGCGGTGAATGTCGTCCTCACGCGGTGAATGTCGTCCTCACGCGGTGAATGTCGTCCTCACGCGGTGAATGTCGCCCTCACGCGGTGAATTTCGCCCTCACACGTTGTTTTCCGCGTCGGCTGCGAACCTCAAGATTTTTTAAGCCCCGCCCACAGCCTTTCAGAGCACACCTCCCACTCTCCCCCCCATTGGATCCTCCCACTCTCCCCCCCATTGGATCCTCCCACTCTCCCCCCCATTGGATCCTCCCACTCTCCCACCACTAAACACCGCCCCTTTCCCAACCTAATCCCGCCCCTTCTTCCTATTGGTTCCCGCCTTCTTCCTAAAGATCGGCGATACAGCCCATCAGCCATCTTGTTACCTAGCAACAGGATCCTCCATTACTGAACCCCAAACTATCCATTACTGAACCCCAAACTATTTATTACTGACCCCAATCTATCCTCCCTTACTGCACCCCAAACTGTCCATTACTGAACCCCAAACTATCCTCCGTTACTGAACCCCAAACTGTCCATTACTGAACCCCAAACTATCCTCCGTTACTGAACCCCAAACTATCCTCCGTTACTGAACCCCAAACTATCCATTACTGAACCCCAAACTATCCTCCATTACTGAACCCCAAACTGTCCATTACTGAACCCCAAACTATCCTCCGTTACTGAACCCCAAACTGTCCATTACTGAACCCCAAACTATCCTCAATTATTGAACCCCAAACTGTCCATTACTGAACCCCAAACTATCCTCCGTTACTGAACCCCAAACTGTCCATTACTGAACCCCAAACTATCCTCCGTTACTGAACCCCAAACTGTCCATTACTGAACCCCAAACTATCCATTACTGAACCCCAAACTATCCTCCGTTACTGAACCCCAAACTGTCCATTACTGAACCCCAAACTATCTCTAAGTTACTGAACCCCAAACTATCCTCCGTTGCTGAACCCCCAAACTATCCATTACTAGACTGACTTGTATCTCCATTGCGCAGACCCCCAAACTGTCCGTTACTGAACCCCAAACTATCCTCCGTTACTGAACCCCAAACTATCCATTACTGAACCCCAAACTATCCTCCATTACTGAACCCCAAACTGTCCATTACTGAACCCCAAACTATCCTCCGTTACTGAACCCCAAACTGTCCATTACTGAACCCCAAACTATCCTCCGTTACTGAACCCCAAACTGTCCATTACTGAACCCCAAACTATCCATTACTGAACCCCAAACTATTCTCCGTTACTGAACCCCAAACTGTCCATTACTGAACCCCAAACTATCCTCCTTGTCTGAACTCCAAACTATCCTGCATTACTGAACCCCAAACTATCCTCCGTTACTGAACCCCAAACTATCCATTACTGAACCCCAAACTATCCTCCATTACTGAACCCCAAACTATCCTCCGTTACTGAACCCCAAACTATCCATTACTGAACCCCAAACTATCCTCCGTTACTGAACCCAAACTATCCATTACTGAACCCCAAACTATCCTCCATTACTAAACCCCAAACTGTCCATTACTGAACCCCAAACTATCCTCCGTTACTGAACCCCAAACTATCCATTACTGAACCCCA